GCGGAGAGCTGCTGCCGCGCTGCCGGCCCCCGTCAGCAAGCTTAACCAAAGCGTATCCGGCTTCATCATGAGAAAAGCCCGAGTTTCATCCTGGATGGAAATGCTACAAAGGCCATCTGTTTCCCAGAGGATGCGTGGAAATGCAAAGGGAGACGAAAGTAAAAATAATAAACTCAAAATGTGCGAATTGCTTTGGCCAGAGTCAGGCTGCGCGGGGCTGCGTGGGGAGCGGGGTGCCGCGGCCTCCAGGAACCAGAGGGCAGCTGCCAGTTACGACTTTATTCATTTTCACATTTAGATATTACAACAAAACTCTTAATGACAAAGGATAACAAGTACTATAGGAGGAGAGGAAAGAAAGCAGTGTTCTAACTGGTTTGATATATAACCGTGAACTTCCAGAGACAAGACTCAGCGTGAGTTACAAACACTCACATATGCTCACTGGTAGGAAAACTTCACACGTGCAAACACCCACACGCTCACCCACAAAACACTCACTCACACACACAGACCACACTTCTGTACTCGCACATAACCCATGTTGTAACTTACTTGCTTCGAAGGCAGCCCACTGAAACATTGAATGCTGCTGTAGCAACAACAGGTACCAGGATAAAATATTGCAATATAAATGAAGTGTTACTTGATACACAGGTTTTTCTCCAGAGACGCACGTGCATTTGCAAGTGGGGGATCCAACGCTTTGTCTTCACGAGGGAGGAATGTCCTCTCAACACCAACACTTTGTAAGGAAAAAATGAGACTGTGCGTAGACTGGCAACAGTCATTTTAAAGGATAAATAGCTTAGCTTCAATGTTGAGTTCCAGTAAAAAGCCCAAACAAAACAAAACAGTGCATTGTGAACAGAGCAGGCACAGTTATCTAACCCTGGGTTTTAAAAGTTGAAATACTCCCTTGTTACTGTGGAAAGACAGACAACACTGTTGCCTCACACCTTAAAACCAAAACAGAGCAGCTTCATTTCATGCTCATGCTCATCTGGAGACTGTAAAAAAATAAGCCAGAAATAATGCAAGAGTGTGGGGAAGGGCATGAGGTTTGTACACTCTAATTTTAGTGTACTTTTAAGAAAGCAAAAGTACAATTGTCTCAACAGCTCTTCAGCACCCCACACTACAATTGTTCTTCATCAGCAGGAGTGTCTGAAGAGGAGCCAGCATTTTCTTGTGTCATGGCTACATTGTTCATGCAATGCTGTTGACGCAGATACAATAGGATCTGATTCCACCCCCCCCATCAAGATGGTGCAAAAGAGAGAAAATAAACTGTGGAGTTGAATGATCTGAATGTTCAAAAAATCGGGTGTCACGCCAGCACTTTCCCCAGAGTGAAGCAGGGGATTGTTAACAATGGCTCTAATGAAGTAACCCTTCTCCACAAGGATGCTTGTGAGCAATTTACAGCTGAACCTAGAGACAAAATGCAGCTGTCCTGGCCGGTTGGGAGTGCTGACAGTCAGCCAGGGCGCTCAGATGCCTCTGCCCCTTTCTGCTGACGAATCCTGCCAGTGCCCTGCAAGTGTTGGACTTTGCTAGTACGTTTCTATCCCTCCACATATGGACAAGGACTTGCAGCTACGTCAGAATTCTAGTTTTCAACTATTATTTTATTATAGGCCTCTTTCTTGGACCCTCTCTCAGATGAAGCTCTGTTTCCAGGCAGAAACTGTGAAACACTGGAAACACTGGAAACAAGAGAGCCTGGGTCCTATGGATGCACATCACCCAGCAAGCAGCCTGATTTTAGCTCAGCTGTCTGTCACCTTCCACCCATAAGAATGCCAGTGGAGACCCCCAGCAGCACGGAGCATGTGCAGCCTTCCTTCTGTCAAGGGAACCACCAGTTCAAAACCAGGGCAAGATGAGGGCAAGAGAATTTGGTCTGGCCTACACCCTGCTGGCTGTCCTACTTCCCTGGCCTGGCTCTCCAGCATCTCCTGCCAGAGGATTCTTACTGAGTCAGAACAATTACTTAAAGATGCTCAAATTCCTGGCAACTTCAGGGGACACCGGTAGAAGTCAGGGAATTCATTGTTACATGCAGTTTCCAATTCCACATCCTGAGCCAGTTTGGCTCAAGCTGGTCTGGTTTTGTGCCTCTTTTTGCCATGAAAATCGCAGCCATGTCATCCTGCTGACATGAAAAGGGAGGGGAACGTTGAGCACCCTGCACAGGCTTAGAGAATCTGAATGATAGGCATGCTTTTCCCATGTGCTAAATAAATCTCCCCATTACACTTGTGCAGAGAACTATAATTAAGACTTGGGAAAGTCATCCGTAAGGACTCACAGGCTCACGTCAGGAAATGCATAAAACCATCTGCTGGAAAAGAACTACAGTTTGGGAAAGCAGTACGTCTGACAGGAAACACAATTTCAAAAGTCCAAACCAAACCCTTGGCTCTGTGCACAGCGTGGCCTGCAGGCAGAAACTCCCTGGTGCTGAGATGCCCTGGTGGAAGGAGCTCTGCCAGCCATGGGCAGGTGGGAGAAGAGATGATGACAAGCTGTTCAGATAAGCCTCTTCACCCAGATGACTCTGGTGGTGAGCAGGATGGAAAGAAGTAGGTGGGAAGTGGTGAGGCAGCAGCACAGAAATCTGTAGAGGGGCTGTGGAGGTTCCC